TCATCTGCCAACTGATCGGTATTCTTTTCTCATACAATGTAACATGTTGTTCCCTTTTACATCGATATTGTTGCGATTATCTTGATGATTTCAAGATTAAAACCTTCGGCAAAATGTGTCTTTTTTAACAATACTCAAGCTCACATTACCAAACAGCAAGTTAAAATACTAAAATGCTTTTTTTTATCCTGAATGCTGCTCCACTAGCAAAGAAAGAAACTGAAGTTAATTAATTTTTTCACAACATTTTCTTTATTTTTCTTGGAACAAATTTTATCACTGACCTTATTATTGATCATGGTACTATGGGAACTACCCGTAAGTTGCAGATGATACCAAGACCTGAGCGAATGTCTGTAGAAACTACATTTGCTTGACTTACTACAAACAGTTCTTGATCAGTTGAGAGATTGGATGCTAGATTGGTGAATAATATTTAACATAGAAAAATACTATTCTGTTTGTATGGGGCCAGAGTAATTTGGTCTGGTTTTGACTGCCAAAGCAGGTCAGAAAGGGAATTCCTGATTTTCTTTCCTTACATTATCTTGGATTTTCACTTTTCCAGGTGGATCCCATGGTTTTGGATGGGGTCAGGAATGTATCGTATGTAAAATACAAAGCAATGTAGCTTCACAGCAGAGACAAGATGGGCCAAAGGATCTTTTCCTGTCTCTCATTATTTGTGTGTTTTTAGAAATATTTTTAAAAATGTCAGCTATTAACGGCTGTTGGCTTGTAAGCTGTTATTTTGTCTTTAGCAAGGTAGGCATAACTTCCAACTATACTGGAACATTTTACTTACCCTCTCTTCTAAAAGCTCTACAACTTGTTGGATACATTCATTCACAGATGTGAGGTTTGTTTTCAGCACCAGCTCTGAACTTTCAGGCTTCTCATATTCTGAATCAATGCCGGTAAATCCTAAACAAATGAATAAAATAAACTGAATGAGGCACTAGAGAATACTCTGTGACTTGAAGATATGCATATGCAGATCCTTAAGCTGCTTATTGACCTGAAACTTTCAAATAAAACAGCTTATCTAACACTATATAACGCCAACCATTCACCTCCTCTGAGGGTCCAATGGATTACAAGGTCACTGGTGTACTATTACACAAATCAAAAGTTCCCATCTGCTGAGTTAGCTGTCTAAACTGGGGCAGAAGGACAGAGCAAGGCAATTTAACTTGGAGACACTGGGCTAGGGGACAACTCAAACATGGGTTTCTGCTCTCAATTTGTACCCAGAGTGAATGTCAGTTAAAAACAGCATCAGCTTTCATTGTGATGCCCGCAGTAATTTAAGAAGGATTTCTGTGCTTGCACGAGTGAGCCCAGGTCACACCCTGGCCCCAGAAGTGGTGTACTGAACATGATGCAATGGTCTAGAAAACTGGGTCTCAGACTTTATATTCCACCTGAAAAGTAGAACATGCGAATTGTCTGTTTGCACCTGTAGTGATAAGGCCTGAGCTACATTCATGATCCTTAAAAAGAAAAAGCTGAGTGCTAGTTTAGTAGGGAAAGTGTTTCCTGGGGTAGAAGATGTTTCCACTTGTGGAGCCATCTAAATGCAGGAGTAGAACTTCATATTTTTACGTTAGATTTCTGGGGCCATGTATTTGCAGTCAGTGCAGTGGAAGGGTTTTTGAGGGAGGTGTTGCCAAATTTTACAAGTGGTTTTCTTGCTACCTACTTGCCCATCCCTGACCTCCTTGCAATTCTATGGCCAAAACAACAAGCCTAAAAGTGACCCATCCACCCTCTCCCCAATTGAGGCTCTTACGTTGTCAATTAAAGGTCACTTAAGAGCCACTTAGCACTGGCCACAAATCCTTATTTAGTGGGAGTTGGTTGGTGACTAGGATGGGTGGCAGACACTCAGGAGGCTAGACAGCAAAGGGGTGGGGTGTGTGTCTGCTTCACAGGCCTCCATTTCTAATTAGAGCCCAACCCCCACCACCCTATCATGCCAAGGTCTACCTCATGGAGGTTACCACTGTCCCGCTCCCCAGATTCTTTGCAACAATGTTCCTGATCCCTGCCATGTCCCAGCAGTGTCACCCAACTTGGCCCTATTGGTAGGCTCTTAGCTGTTTGCTTTCTGGGACTAGATGCAGTCTCAGTATGGTCACCTGCCCTAATGGTGCTGCTGGAGCCAGAAAGCTGTGACATTGCAGTGAGGTGAGCAACATATCAGCCATGATCGAATGGAGCAGCAAACTCGATGGGCTGAATGGCCTAATTCTGCTCTGGTGTCTTATGGTTTTATTGGTGCAAGAAATCCTGCCACTCTGGCCCAGGGTCATAAGAGTAGGATAGTCACTAATAAATCCTGTCAGGAATCTAGGAGAAATCTTTTAGCCCAAAGAGTGTTTAGAATATGGAACTCACTACCTTATGGGATTGCTGAGGTGAATAATGCAGCACGAGAACTCAAGAAATGTTTAGAATTATCTATGAGGGAGGAAGGACCATCAAGGCATATTATAAGATGAAATAGGTGGGTAGAGACTCATGAAGCATAGACATTTGGGTTGTATTGAAAACTATATTGAAAATTCTGGATCCAGGATTGGGAAAGTGTCAACCTGGCATTCATGAATGCACACTACAGCAAGGGGACAGAAGAGTTAATTTGTCCCCTTGGACATTAAAGTGGGATGGTCATTTCCTTACTAAGAGTTTTCTAAGATTTGTTTTGTCTCTCTGCTCAGAGTTCAAAATCAGTGCAACTTTGACTGCAGTTGTTTGATATTCCTGCATTCTCTTTGCAAAGCTAATGCAAGGTCATGCTGCAGATTAGAAGTGAAATACTAATACATTTTTTTAACATGTCTTACTGATAGCCATGTTAAATGAACATTGTTTCACCACATAAAATGGGGCTGCATGTTTGCTGTGCAGATACTCTTGCAACATCTCTCCAATTAGCTGATAACCATCAACAATTCTCAAAGCTATAATTTGCAGTAGTAGAGATAAGTCTCACAGTCATCACAGAACATTGAGTTGATGGTATTATCACAAGATCCCTTCATTGATAACACTGTATGAGAGTGATACCTTTGATTTCTCCTGCTCTAGCCTTCTTATAGAGACCTTTCACATCACGACTTTCACAGATATCTAAAGGAGCATCGACAAAGATTTCAAAAAACGGAAGTCTGGAGTTCTCATGAATTTTTCTTGCTTTTTCACGATCCTGAAGATATAAATGAACATACCAAATTAACACTGTTTATTTGCAATGGTTTTCAGAGGCCACTGACCCTGTCTTGTGATCCGGTCAACCAAGGAAATATCTATATTGTGCTGAAGTAAATTATTCAGATAATAAATCAATCAGGTTGCTTTAATTGTACTCCATGGTTTAAGATAACATTGCCCTTTTCAATATTTCACATGTATGTTTTTTAAGTGGTGTTTATTAGAACATGTCCTGTTAACAATACACAAAGCCACTTGAAGTCAGCAGCAAACGTTCTGTCTGATCATTTCTATGGATATATTTCATATATATCCTCAGCTTTTCATGATAACATGTTAATGCAAGAGCTAGTTAGGGGTTTAATAATTAAAACACCCATTTATAGTGAGCATTGTAATGAAGGCTTAAATGAATTGCCTGCCTCCTAAATGACTTTGTCTAAAACATTTGAACGTAATAGCTTAAAAATCAATTTGCTTCTTTCTACATTGGCATTTAACTGTTGGAGAAGAAAAGTTTGGACATTAGTTTCTTTTAAATTGACAGAACAGTTACATGTGCTTCTTCATCCAACAATTATTGTAAACAATCATTTATCAAATCTGAAATTCAGGAAGTAAGGGTCAATGGAAAGGATGCACCCAGCATTTCTTAAAATATTTCTGAAAAATGTTGATTTTTCAAACTGAAGGGTGGATTTCAGAAACATACCAATTTCCCATGGAAATTGATGCTAAATTTTTAAATGTTTTTTGTTCAGTCACAGGATTTGGGCATCGTTGGCTAGGTCGACATGTATTGTCTGTTAACTGGCCAGAGGACAGTTAAGAGACAACTAGATTGCTGTAGGTCTGGAGTCACATGTCGACCAGAGCAGGTAAGGATAACAGCTTACCTTCCAATAAGAACATTAGTGAACAAGATGGGTTTTTCAAACGACCAATAATAGTTTCACGGTCATCATTAGAGTCTTAATTCCAGATTATTACTGAATTCACATTTCACCATCTGCTGTTGCAGGATTTGAACCCAGATGCTCAAAACATCACCTGGGTCTTGAGATTAGAAGACTAGTGGCAATACCACTAGACCATCACCTCTCCTGCATATGCTATGTAAAAAAGACTTTGGTATATTGATAGTTAACCTTCCAATGTACAGTAGCTGTATATGGAGGAAGTCAGTATATCTGCAGCTATCAATAGGTGTACCACTCCTCTCTTCTACTCCTTGTTTTTGAGACCCAAACATTCCTTTTTGACCAGGATATTGGATAAACCTATTCTACTGACAGCTCTATAGTACCATAAAATGTTCAGCCTTCATTTATCCCAAGGATACTTGGGATATTCCTTCCCAGCTGGCATTTTCCCTCCTCTCAAAAACTTTGGCCAACAGCAACAGTTTACAGAAAACCTGTGCACGTTGTTGAGATTCAGATTCAAGTTATTCAAAGCATACTGCTGATGTGTTGAATTAGACATTGTTTAAAGAGGATGATGGTCAGCGACCTCAATATATATGATTAATTTGCTTGTCTGGAGGATAGGAAACCCCAAAATGAACTTACATAATGGAACATGTCATTTTCTTCTGTTACGCTCACTCCTCAAGAATGTAGGAGCTAAATATGAATTTATGAAGTCTAAACCCAAAAGAGCCACATTGCTGTGAAAGAACGTGGAGTTGAGGGATCAGGTGACTTTTCTTTCCTGCTGGCACATGTGGAACTATAGCTCTCTAAGCTAATCTTCATGTCTGGCCAAGGCTTTATGAAGTCACTTAAATACAAATGACCTATCTGAATGTATGAGACATAATTTTTATTTTTATTTGTTCATGGGATCAGGGTATCATTGGTTAGGCCAACATTCATTGCCTGTCCCTAACTGTCCAGAAGGCAGCTAAGAGACAACCACATTGCTGTGCGTTTGGAGTCACATGTAGGGGCAAGCCGGGCTAGCTAAGAATGGCAGATTTCCCTTTCAAAAGGGCGTTAAACCAAACGGAAATGTCTTCAACCCAGGACAAGTGGAAGACAGAATGCTTGAAATCCTGAGGCCAAATGCATATTAATTCTGTAAGTGCAATCTTTTCTTGAGTGCGGGTATATCCGTATGTCTGTGCGAGTCGGTGTGGTCATTTACACATTTGTGTGCTAAGTTATTAACATTTCTCTTTCTTGTGAAGCTTACAAGAAAACCTAACTGTTATCTGCTTCTGGAAATTATGGAACTCAGGGGTTAAACATTTGTTTTAAAATGCACTGACTTCAGTCTGACAAGATGTAGGAGAAAGGACAGCCAGCCCTCTCATGTCCATAACACTTCCTTCCAATGAGCTTACCTTTGAAAAGGGAGAGATGAAGCTAGTGATGCAGACAAGACCAGCATCTGCAAACAGTTTGGCCACCTCAGCAATACGCCGGATATTCTCCTCACGGTCCTCAGAGGTGAACCCCAGGTTTTTATTCAGTCCTTGTCTGATATTATCTCCATCCAAAGAGTAACAGGGAATACCGTGGGTTACCAAGTACTCCTCCAATGCAAATCCAATGGTGGTCTTTCCAGCACCTGATAGACCTGAACAGAAAGTATTGATGTCAATTGGGTTGAAATGAGCTTCCTAAAATTCATCAAGGAAAGATCCACAAGTACAATCACCATGTCTATATTACTCTGCATGCTTACTCTCAAAGGCAATGGTGCCAGCACCACTGTTCCAGGCAACATTGTCCTTCCCATTAATTTGATTCTCACTTCTCCGTCAGTCTGAGATTACCTGTCCTCCCTCCCCAGTTCTGGAGCTGCAGGCTCGAGCTGTAGTTTCAGGAGCATGAGCAGAATCAGGATCAGAACAGTACTGCATTTGCATGTGCTGCATAAGCCAACTGGAAGAGTACAGGGCACTTGGTTTCTTGTCTTGGCTATTATAAGATTAATGCAAAGTTGTAGAGTGAAGAATGTGACATCCTTACCTTTGTCGTGTTGACGAAATCACACGTACTCAGAAATAGTCATAGACAATAAAAACAGAAAATGCTGGACAAACTCAGTAGGGCCTGGTATCTGTGGAGACAGAAACAGAATGACCATGGACTCCAATACAACGCCTCTCTGGAACCCTAGTCTTAGACATTACATTACCTGTCAGCCAGACCGTACAACCACGGAATCCACTGCGGGTACCAACTATTTGGCCTCTCTTGTTTCGACTAACATGATGGGACTGGTAAACCACATTGGTGGATTTATGAATTTCCTGTTCGAAAAGAAAATGTTACATCTTAGCAATTTTCTGACAGGACATTTTACCAGAAATACACCCAGTTTTCCACAATTACTATATAATAGAAGAATAACAAGGAGAAAGCAAATGAAAGTTTTATTTGTGCCTAAATAAAGTGAAGGCACATTAATGGGACACATCTTCGATGAATGACACTGGGAAAAGAATGATCGAACACTTTTGTTTGTTTAAGCTTACCCTAGCTGATTAACAAAAACAGGATGTAGTCACTTAGGAGATGCTTTTCGCACATGTTTACTTGTTAAACTAGTTTTCAAACGTACAAAAGGAATGCTGGATGCTCAACAACCTCAGCGTAGAAGAAAAAGATCTACACAATTTCCAAATGCAAACATAAAGCCTTTACATAAAAATGTTACAAATATGAAGGGCAGCAATTATAGCGTCAACCACATTGCAACGGCTCTGGAGTTCACAAGACAAATGGACAAAGAAAAGTCAACAGATTTCTTTCTCTAAAGGACATTAGTGAACTTTTTTTTTACAAAGAAAGGTTTGACAATAGTGTCACGGTCACCATAAGACTCCTGATCGATTCCGGATTTTTCATTAAATTTAACTTCACCATTTGCATTGGGAGGAATTTAACTCATGTTCCCCAGAACATGAACACAAGTTTCTGGATTACTAGGTCCAGTGATATATTGACACTGTACCACAGCCTCCATTAAATTAAGCCAGACTGTTGGCACATGTAGTGGATTCCGTGGTTGCACTGTCTGACTGACAACAAATATATTGTCAAAGACTAGGGTTCTGAGGAAGAGTCATGTTGGACTTGAAAGATTAATTCTAGAGACCCATAGTGCTGTTCAGAAGGGAGTTCCAAGATTTTGATCCAGTGACAGTATTGTAGTATTGTTCCAAGTTAGGATGGCGTGTGACTTTGAGGGAAACTTGCAAATAGTGGCACCTCCATGTATCTGCTTCTCTTGACCTTCTGGATGCTAGAGGTTGCGGGTTTGGAAGGTGCTGTCTAGGGAGGACTGGTGAGTTACTGTGTTGCATCTTGTAAATGGCACACTCTGCTGTCACTGTGTATTGGTGGGGAAGGGATTGAATGTTGATGGTGTGGATGAGGTACAAATCAGGCAGGCTGCTCTCTCCTGGATGGTGTTGAGCTTTTGGAGTATTGTTGATGCTGCATTCATCCAGGCAAATGGAGAGTATTCCATCATACTCCTGACTTATGCCTTGTAGATGGTTGGACAGGTTTTGGGAAGACAGGAATTTTGCAGCAAGTTATTCACTTCCTTTCATTTGACCTGTTCTTGAAGCCACAATATGTATACGACTGGTCCAGTTCAGTTTCTGCTCAAAGAACAGAACCTTTACCCCCTGATATTGGGGGTGTGGACTGGTTCAGTATTTGAGCGGTTGCAAATAGTGCTGAACAGTATCTAATCATTAGTGAACATCCCAACTTCTGACCTCAAGTTGAGGGAAGGCCATTGATAAAACAGCAGAAGCTGGTTGGGCCTAGGACACTACCCTAAGAAACTCTTGCGATCATATCACCAGACTGAGATGAGAGACCTTCAACAAACCACAGCCATCTTCCTTCGTGCCATGTATGACTCCAACCAGTGGAGAGTTTTCCCTCGATTCATAGAAACGTGGAAAATAGGAGCAGTTGTAGGCCATCTGGCCCTTTGAGCTTGCTCTGGCATTCATTACAATTCTGGCTGGTCATCTAACTCAATACACTGCCCATAACCTTTGATCCTCTCAGCCTTAAGGACTATATCTAACTCAGTCGTGAAAACATTCAATATTTTGGCCTCAACCATTTTTTGTGGCTGTGAATTCCACAGATTCATCACTCTTTGGGTGAAGAAATTTTTGCTAGTCTTCATCTTAAATGGTCTATCCCATATCTTTACACTCTGATCCCTTGTCCTGGAACACCTGTTATTTGGCAACATTCTTCCTGCATTTACCCTGTTTAAACTCACCACTGGTTGGAGTCATACATGGCATAGTGGAAGATGGTTGTGGTTTGTTGGACGTCACTCATCTCAGTCTGAAGAAATAATTGCAAGAGTTTCTTAGGGTAGTGTTCCAGGCCCAACCAGCTTCAGCTGTTTTATCAATGGTCTTCCCTCAACTCAAGGTCAAAAGTGGGGATGTTCGCTAATGATTAGGTACTATTCAACATCATTTGCAACTCCCCAAATACTGAAGCAGTACACACCCCCAATATCAAGGGATAAAACTTCTGTTCTTTGACCAGAAACTGAACTGGACTAGAATTTCTTAGGTTACCATGAGATCCCTCCTCATTCTTCTAAATCTCAGTAAATATAACCATAACCAATTCGGTCTATTTATATGTTAGTCCTGACATCTCAGGAATCAGTCTGGTAAACCTTTGTTGCGCTCCTTCCATGGAGACCAAAACTGCTTACAATGTGCCAGGTTTGGTCTCAACAAAGCCCTGTACAATTGCAGGAAGACATTCCTGTACTTGAATCTGCTTGCTATGAATATCAACATACCATTTGCCTTCTTCACTATCTTCTGTACCTGCATACTTACTTTCAGCAACTAATGTACAAAGATATGCAGGTCTTATTATACTGCCTCCTTTCCCAATCTACTGCCATCCAGAAAATAATCTGCCTTCCTGCTTTTGCTACCAAAGTGGATAATCTCATCCATTATCCACATTATACTTCATCTGCTATGCATCAGCCATTCCCATTGACCCCAGTTTTGCTAGGCTTCCTGGATGTTGTACTGGGTGAAATGCTGTCTTGACGTCAAGTGTAGTGACCGTCACCTCTGCTCTGGAGTTCAGCTTTGCTGTCCATGTGTGGACCAAGGCTGAAATGAGATCAGGAGCAGAGTGACTATGGCAGAATACAAACTGAATGTCACTGAGTAAGTTATTGCTTTGCAAGTGCTATTTGATAAAACTGCTGTCAATTCCGTCTACCACTTTGTTCATGATTCAAATTAGACATATTGGGTGGTAATTGCTGGGTTGGATCTATTCAACTTTTCATGGACACTCCCAGGCAATATAATACACATTATTGGGTAGATGCCAATGTTGTAACTGTACTGGAACAGTTTGGCTCAGGGTGTAACTAGTTCTGCAGCACAGATCTTTGGTACTATTGCCAGAATGCTATCAGAGCCCTTAGCCTTTGCAGTATCCAGTGCCTTCAACCATTTCTTTATATCATGGGAGCGAACTGAATTACCCAAAGACCGGTATCTGTAATGCTGGGGACCACTGGAGAAGGTCGAGATGGATCATTCACCTGGCTGATTAAATTTCAAAGATAAATTGATTGCCATTCATTAGTTTGAAATAGAAGGCAAAGCCAAGTGTAAAACATTGCCAATTTTGGATAAAGAATAATGATTAAACACACTTTGTGGCACCATTCAATCAAGCTTAAATTAGCTGTAATTTGCTATTCACCAATCCTATTCCGAAATAATAGGACTTACGGTTAATGTGGGATTCTTTCACAATTAAAAAGTCTTTTAATAACATTGTGTTTCTGCGCTAATCCCTCACTCTTGTATTTGGGCTCTGCCAAATGTTTTAAAATCTCTCTCCCCTTACCTTAAAACTGAGTCCCCTAGCCTTGAGATTCCCTCATCCTAGGGAAAAGACAACTACTCTATCTATACCTCATTATTTTATAAACTTCTGTCAGGTCGCCTAACTTCCTACGCTCCATTGAAAAAAGTCCCAGCCTATCCAACCTTTCTTTATAACTCAAACCTTCCACACCCGGCAACATCCAAGTAAATCTCTTCTGAACCTTCTCCAGCTTCATAATATCCTTAATAATATCAAATAATAATATCAAAACAAATTCAAACAAGCCTGAAAACATGTAATCGCTGAAGTTCTTCTTATAGCATTCCTCTCGTAAATCCCACTTCCCTGTGCTTCTCCCAATATATACTGCAAGAGAATAAGGGAAGTCTAGGCTGTATTCACAATCTGTGTGGAACATGGTGCAAAGTAGAACATAATTCTGGAGGAGGATATGAATCTGAATTCCTGGGCATCTTAGTGCTGTGCTCATTTTTACCACAAGCTTGTTTTCGTGGGTTTCATGGGAAATTTGTTGTGCATAAAATGGTTGCCATATATTTCTATAAAACAATAGTATGTAGGCTTCAAAAATAATTCCCTGGCTGTGAATTGAACTTTCAGAAGCTGTGAAAGTTGTTATGTATAAATGTAAGTTTTATTTGCTCTGACTGTTTAATTTGATAGCTCTCATTAGAATTCTTACATTCCATATAGTAGCAATGGAGGCCTCAACTGATGGAATCATACCCAGAGGTAGCATTATGTCCTTTATGTTGAATGATGGAGGTGCCAAGAAGATAATAACTACTGCGTTTGGCGTTATGTCACTGCTTGAGAATTTTAAAAACTACTAGGATTGATAATAAAGGCAATAAAGAAAATAAAAAGGCATTTTTCAACAGGTTTGTGGAAGATTTATAATGTATTGATATTTGTAGTCAGCACTGGAGGTACTGGGACACTTCATTCTGTATTGTATATTGCGAGCCTCTCATATGAGCTTTGAACGAGTCACAGTTTGAGATAACAGATTATCTTAATTAATACAGCCTCCTATGACATGTGGTTATAGTATGTTTGAGGATGACACCAAAATTGGTGGCATAAGAGACAGTAAAGTAGGTTTTCTGAGATTACAAAGGGATCTTCATCAAATGGGTCAATGGACTGAAAAATGGCAGATAGAGTTCAATCTGGATAAATGAAGGCATGGCATTTTGGTACAACAAACAAGGGTAGGGCTTAACAATTAATGGTAGGGCTTTGGGTAGTGTTGTAGAACAGAGGGACCTAGGGGTGCAGGTACATAATTCCTTGAAGTTTGCATCACATATAGACAGGGTGGTTAAACAAGGCGTTTGGTACTCTTGCCTTCATTGCTTAGTCCTTT